GACTTGTTCTCTAGACCCTTCACCAGCTTGGTGGCTCTCCTCTGGACATGCTCCAGCACTTCAGTGTCCTTCTTGTAGTGAGGGGCCCAGAACTGAACACAGTACTCAAGGTGAGGCCTCACCAGTGCCCAGTACAGAGGCACGATGACTTCCCTACTCCTGCTGGCCACGCTATTCCTGATACAAGGCCAGGATGCCATTGGCCTTCTTGGCCACCTGGGCACACTGCTGGCTCATGTTCAGCCGGCTGTCCACCAATACTCCTGGGTCTTTTTCTGCCGGGCAGCTTTCCAGCCACTCTTCCCCAAGCCTGTAGCACTGCCTGGGGTTGTTGTGACCGAAATGCAGGACCCAGCACTTGGCCTTTTTGAACCTCATCCCATTGGCCTTGGCCCATTGATCCAGTCTGTCCAGATCCCTCTGTAGAGCCTTCCGACCCTCAAGCAGATCAACACTCCCACCTAGTTTGGTGTCATCTGCAAACTTACTGAGGGTGCACTCAATCCCCTTACCAGATCATCAGTAAAGATATTAAACAAGACTGGCCCCGAAACTGAGCCCTGAGGGACACCACTGGTGACTGGTCGCCAACTGGATTTCGCCCCATTAATCACAACTCTCTGGGCACGGCCATCCACCCAGTTTTTTTATCCAGTGCAGGGTACGCTTGTCTAAGCCATGATTCGCCAGTTTCTCCAGGAGAACACCATGGGGGACGGTGTCAAAGACCTTACCAAAATCCAGGTAGACAGCTTCTCTCCTTCAGAGCCCACCAGCTGCCAGGAGGGAGCCTGGCGCCCTGCAGAGCTGGGGGTGGTTGAAGAAGAGGAAGGTGGATGGTTCACCCGGCATGCCAACGCAGCTGCTCCAAGTTGCCTTCATGGCAGCCTCAAGACCAAACCCTCTCCCCGCTGGAGTCTGCACAGACTGTTTTCATAGAATCATAGAATTATCTAGGTTGGAAGGGACCTTAAAGATCATCTAGTCCAACCATGAAAAAAAAAATAAATAAAAAATAAGAAATAAAAATCACTAAACCATGTTCATGGGGACCATGTCAACCCATCTTTTGAACACCTTCAGGGATGGTGCCTCAACCACTTCCCTGGGCAGCCTATTCCAGTGCTGGATAACCCTTTCCGTGAAGAAATTTTTCCTAATATCCAATCTAAACCTCCCCTGGCGCAACTTGAGGTCATTTCCCCTTGTCCTATCTCCTGTGACTTGGGAGACAAGACCGACCCCCGCCTCTCTACACCCCCGCTTCAGGTGGTTATAGGGCACGATAAGGTCTCCCCTCAGCCTCCTCTTCTCCAGACTGAACAACCCCAGTCCTTTAGGGCCCCGCTCCCCCTCGCACCGACACGAAACCGCCGAACGCTCGGGTCCCGGCCTCCAGGGCTGCGCGGAGGACGGGGCCGCGCTCGGGAGCGCAGAATCCAGGTAGACAAAGGAAACGCGGAGCCGCCACGGCCGAAGCGAACAAAGAGAGCGCAGCGCAGGAAAGGTCCCTCCGCGGGCTGCTCCGAGCGGCAGCGGGAGGGGCGGGGCGGCAGCGCCCAGCGCGGCCCCGGATTGGTCGGATTTTGCCGCAGACCCGCGGGCAGCGGCCGGGGACGGAGACCGGGGCCGGGGGCGCCGCGGCCCTCAACACGGCCCCGGGACCACCGAGCCCCGCTCCTGCCGCCGGCCCAGAGCCAGAGCCGCCGCGGAACCGCCGCCCGCGCAAGGCGGGGAAGGGACGGGGCGGGAGAGGAAGGAAGCGGGGAGCGGCGCGGGCCGAGGGCCGGCAGGGGCGGCGAGGTCGGCTCCCGGGGAATATACCGCGCCTCCGCCGCGCCGGTGGCGTGCAGTGTCGGGCTGCGGGTCGTGCCGTCATGTCTGGCAGAGGCAAGGGCGGGAAGGGGCTGGGCAAGGGGGGCGCCAAGCGCCACCGCAAGGTGCTGCGCGACAACATCCAGGGCATCACCAAGCCGGCCATCCGCCGCCTGGCTCGGCGCGGCGGCGTCAAGCGCATCTCGGGGCTGATCTACGAGGAGACGCGCGGCGTCCTCAAGGTCTTCCTGGAGAACGTCATCCGCGACGCCGTCACCTACACCGAGCACGCCAAGAGGAAGACGGTGACGGCCATGGACGTGGTCTACGCCCTCAAGCGACAGGGACGCACCCTCTACGGCTTCGGCGGCTAAACTCCAATCGCGAACCAATCCACTGTCAAAACACCAAGGCTCTTTTCAGAGCCACCCACAAATTTCACAACGAGAGCTGTTGATTACTGAATTTTGTGTTCGTAAGCTTTTAGAGTATCTGTGACCCTGTAACAGATGTGAGTCGTTGCTAGTTTCAGAATCAAAATGCTGCCATCACTAAACGTCCTGAGAAAAAACCGAGTACTGCAAAACACAAAACCCTGACATTTTTAATGATACCTTATAGTTAGTGTAAGCTCAGCTCATCTTTTACTATGTAGTTAGACACAGTTTCGCCCTATTAAGGGCAGTACCGCCATCAGCGCAGCTGCAAATCACAACGACTGTGTAAATACAGCGCCCGAGCTGTGACGATAACAGGATGGAAGTGCCTGTAATTACGTTGATATTTTTTACTCCAATAGGAATGGAACGATTACAATCCTCTAATTTGCATAACGCCCTTATAAATAGGGGTGGCAGGCGCCATTTTCGATGTTGTGAGGTACAGAGGAGATCATAGAAACTAACTTTTAAGAATGCCTGAGCCGGCAAAATCAGCTCCTGCTCCCAAGAAGGGCTCCAAGAAGGCGGTCACCAAGACCCAGAAGAAAGGTGACAAGAAGCGAAAGAGAGCAAGGAAGGAGAGCTACTCCATCTACGTGTACAAGGTGCTGAAGCAGGTGCACCCCGACACGGGCATCTCTTCTAAGGCCATGAGCATCATGAACTCCTTCGTCAACGACATCTTCGAGCGCATCGCCGGCGAGGCCTCGCGCCTGGCGCACTACAACAAGCGCTCCACCATCACCTCGCGGGAGATCCAGACGGCCGTGCGGCTCCTGCTGCCCGGCGAGCTGGCCAAGCACGCCGTCTCCGAGGGCACCAAGGCCGTCACCAAGTACACCAGCTCCAAGTAGAGCGGCTCCCAGCGCCGGTTTTAAACAATAACCCAAAGGCTCTTTTAAGAGCCACCATGTCTTTTTAAAAAGAGCTGTAATTGCAAAACCAAAAAAACCCTTTTCACTTAGTTCTTTATTTTTCCATAAGTAGCAACTAATACATGTTGCTTAAAGTACTTAACGTGGCACGATTTCAAGCCATGAACTTTCATTCCACAACAATTTTTTTTTTTTCTGTAGTAATTAACAGCTCTCGTTGTGAAATTTGTGGGTGGCTCTGAAAAGAGCCTTGGTGTTTTGACAGTGGATTGGTTCGCGATTGGAGTTTAGCCGCCGAAGCCGTAGAGGGTGCGTCCCTGTCGCTTGAGGGCGTAGACCACGTCCATGGCCGTCACCGTCTTCCTCTTGGCGTGCTCGGTGTAGGTGACGGCGTCGCGGATGACGTTCTCCAGGAAGACCTTGAGGACGCCGCGCGTCTCCTCGTAGATCAGCCCCGAGATGCGCTTGACGCCGCCGCGCCGAGCCAGGCGGCGGATGGCCGGCTTGGTGATGCCCTGGATGTTGTCGCGCAGCACCTTGCGGTGGCGCTTGGCGCCCCCCTTGCCCAGCCCCTTCCCGCCCTTGCCTCTGCCAGACATGACGGCACGACCCGCAGCCCGACACTGCACGCCACCGGCGCGGCGGAGGCGCGGTATATTCCCCGGGAGCCGACCTGGTTGAGGACTGCGCCAGGAGGCGGGCGCTCGGCCGCCGTCTCCGCCCTTTCCCCGCCCTCCCGCCCGCTCGCCCGCCCCCGGGCGGCGCCCGCGCGCCTCGGCACGT